CATATATATATATATATATATATATATATATATATATAATTGTTTTTTCTTCTATTTATTTTTTTTTTCTTTTCATTATATTGTTAAAAAAGGCTGCTAATTTATATAAATTTCATGTAATAATTTGCAGGTGCGGTGGAAATGGCAGCTGTCGGAGTTTCGATTGCGATTTTCAACCAAGCATCAAAAGTGACAATATTCCCTCTTGTTAGTATAACTACTTCATTTGTTGCTGAGGAAGAAACTCTTAAAAGAATGAGTGAGAAATTACAACAGCAAGAAGACGAAGAAGATGACGTGGCGAAACCGTGTAATAAAGCTGGCAAAGAAATTCCGAAAGCCGCCATACTCGATGAAACTTCCATGATCGAAAACTTAGACAAGGGCTCGATGAATTTAGCAACGGATGAAGCTAAATTAGATGAAGCCCCTAATGATGGTACATATACTTACATACATACATACATACATACATACATTATATGAGATCCATTTTTTATTTTTATTGAAACCTATTATATTTTCGCGCAGAAGAATTGAAAATGACTAGTTGCAAATGTGTTGACGAAGCTCCGATAGTCAGCACGAATAAGGGGAAAACGAAGAAAAACGAGCGGAGGCATATTCCTTCGGCATCTACTGCACTGATTCTCGGGGGAGTTCTTGGACTCGTTCAAACCCTAATCCTTATATTTCTCGCTAAACCTTTGCTAAGTGTTATGGGCGTAAAATCTGTACGTATCGATCGACCGATCTTTTGGTTCTTTTTCATATCTTGTTCATATAAATATTAGTTTTGCATGCTTTAAAAATTATATATACTTTTTTCTGTGAGATGATTTGTAAATATATATATAGGGATCCCGAATGCTAGCACCGGCATTGAAATATCTAATAATACGATCACTCGGGGCGCCAGCTGTTCTTCTCTCGTTAGCCATGCAAGGTGTTTTTCGAGGTTTTAAGGATACTAAAACTCCTCTTTATGCCACTGGTAATGAAAATTATCGCACGTTTTTTTCGAGTTTTTTCCAAATATATATATATATATATATATATATATATATATATATATATATATATATATATATATATATATATTCTAAAGTAACTCATGTTTTTATTTATTTTTCAAAAAAATTATCATTTCTGAGAGTCAATAAACAAAAACCTTAATTAAATTGCTAACTAGATTTTTTTTTTAAATTTATAAAAACAGTTGCAGGAGATTTAACAAACATAATTTTGGATCCGATTCTCATATTCGCATGTCGACTCGGAGTTAGTGGTGCAGCCATTTCTCATGTTCTCTCACAGTAAGCATTTCACTAAATATATATAATCTTAGACAAAAATAAATAAATAAATAAATATTTTTAAATAAATATTTACATATATTGATGTAATTTCCTTAGATTTTTTAATCATCTTTGGGATTTTTGTTGATTAATTAGGTACCTAATCTCCCTGATTCTATTGTGCAAATTAATGAAACAAATTGACCTAATGCCTCCAAGCATCAATGATTTACAGTTCAGTAAATTCCTCAAAAATGGCAAGTATACTTATTTATAACTAGATTTTTCGATACGTCGTCATTCGTTTTTTTTTTTTTTTTTTTTTTTTCCGGAAAAATTAAAAATTCATATTAATAAATGCAGGTTTTCTTTTACTAGCAAGAGTTATAGCAGTAACAATCTGTGTGACGTTAGCAGCCTCGTTAGCCGCTAGGCTCGGTGCTACATCCATGGCTGCTTTTCAGGTCTGCTTACAGGTTTGGATGACGTCATCGCTTCTCGCCGATGGCTTAGCAGTTGCTGGACAGGTGTAATTATTTAATTTAATTAATTAAATATGTTCTTAATTCATACGATAATTATTATTTTTTTTCCGAAAAAAAATTTACATATAATTGTTTCTTGAAAATATTAATATTAGTATATATAATCTTGCATTATTTTTCTTTGCAGGCAATTCTTGCTTGTGCATTTGCTGAGAAAGACTATCGCAAAGCAACGGCTGCTGCAGTACGAGTACTGCAGGTAACTTTTGATCATCCGAAACGAAAAGATAAACAAATAAATAAAAGGATCGACTTTGTAAAATTGAAAAAAAAAAAAAAAATTTGCAGATGGGATTTGTACTGGGATTAGGCCTCGCTCTTTTCGTTGGACTCGGGCTTGAATTCGGATCGGGGACCTTTTCCAAGGACAAAAATGTCATTCGTATGATCGCCATAGGCATTCCGGTACGTATATATATATATATATATATATATATATATATATATATATATATATATATATATATATATATATATATATATATATGTATATATATATATATATATATATATATATAGATATATATATATATATATATATATATATATATATATATATATATATATATATATATATATATATAGATTTGGTCCGTAGGGCTTCCTTCTTCTCCAAGACACGTAATTTGGCCTCCGGTGGAAGTACCTGCAACGCCGGGGGAGATCCCGGCGGGAAAGCTCCGACGATCAAGTCAGTTTATCTATGATTTAGAATATTATGGTAAAGGCATGAAAGTGCGTGTGTGTGAATAGATAATGCTTCCTCTATTTATAGATGATGAAACATTGGCCTCCAAGGTTTCCTTTTTTAGGGTTTGTTTTTCCCCCAAGTCACATGTTTTGGGCCTTTGTTATTTGGGCCTGCTTTAGGCCATCTTTACACTGGGCTGCGAGCCATGATGTTCCGAAGTCTTAAGTCGTTATTCGGAGATCGTAGTTCGGTATCTCTTCTTATAATAGCGAGTTGGTTCTTCTTAGTTCATATTCGTTTGTCTCGGTCAGAATGGCCCGTATCATATATATATATATATTATGACTCATCTCCTAGTAAATAGTATTTTCACTTTCCAAATCAAGTTAGGATTAGATTTTAAATTGATTGGATCCATTGAACTTGTTACATCATTAACAATTATAGAAATATTGAAATAAGTAGCAAATAATCTTTTGCTAATTTCAAAATTTACTTTAGTCAAGAAAGGAATTATTGCTTGAATCCCATTATTATTTTTGTTGTTCCTATAAGAAAAGAAGAAAACAATTTCCAATTGTTAGCTTAAATGGCTAACAAGTTATAATAATACCCAAATTACCCTTATTTGGATTGGTATATTTTCTTGCATCATTTAAATTGCATACAGTAAGTATCCCTAACCACTAAATGTACCACTAAGATTACAACTAAGCAATTTAAAATAATTGTGAAGAAAGCGTAATTATAGTATAGCTGGTTGGTGGAGTAAGAAGAGTGTGACGCCTAACGATGTGAGTGCAATCGACAATCTCTCTATCGGTCGGTTATTCAGTGCACATATGGCCATGTATTTCTTTTTTGCAAAGA